GGCTGGTGGAAGGCGGCGGAGGCAACACGTTGCCCGTCAAGAGGTGACAAGATGTTTGGGCTCATGCTTTCTGGAACCAGCCATATGCATATAGACATATATGATATGTGTATTCTCATGTGTACAATGTATATATATATATATATATATATATGGGTATAGCCCGTTCAAGATCCCCCCACGCAGTTTTCTTATTGTCCATGGTTCCGTGCGATTTCTCGAAAGACCCGTCCGTTTCAAGTTCCATGAGCCTTGAGGGGGCAGCCTCCGATTCCAAGAAGACACCTTGTACTCAACGGCTTCCGTCTCCAAGACAACACCCAATACTCAACAAGCTCCCGCTGCAAGAGAGAATCCGTAAGGAGTCGATTCACATCCCGATCCGCAGGCCCGCCGTCCGCCCGCCCGCCCGCCGCCCACAGCCTCTGTCTCCAAGTCAACACCCATTACTCAACAGGCTCCCGCTGCAAGGGAGAATATTTAAAGAGTCGCCTGAAATCCCCACCCGCCCGCCGCCCGCCCGCCCTCCCGCCTCTCCGTTCATCACCTCATCATATGACTATCCGTCCACCTCACCCGCCCCACCCGTGTACACAACAAGACTCGCATTTGGACAGCAAGTCGGAGGATCTTGAATGGATTATACCGACACACACATACATATATATATATACACATACATACATACATACATACATACATACATACATACATACATATATTTATGTGTGTGTGCGTGTATATATTATAGGTGCACGTATAGACATGTACATAACATGCGTATACACATGCACACACATGCATCTTCTCACCACATAGCGCTTGCACTTAAGGGCTCCTACTTCTCTCTCTGACGAGTTGGTTGGGCCCAGCGACATTTCGCCACGTTGCCGCTAGTTGCCGCCTCGTTGATTCTTCGTACGCGTGGTGGGTCCCGCGAGGTTCCGCCGTGTTGCCCCCTCGTTGCCGCCTCGTGCGCTGGGTGGGTCTGGCGGGGTTTCGCCACGTTGCCGCCTCGTTGCCTCCTCGTTGCCGCCTCGTTGCCGCCTCGTGCTCTGGGTGGGTCAGCGCTTATGAAAAAAATGCGCGCGGAGCCCCTTCAGCTTATGTCTTTGTCGTTTTCCTTCCATCACGCTCGGGCAAGGATGCACATGAACGGGAATCCATACTCTTAGTTGAATTTGCGTCATCCCAGAGATGTGTGTATGCATGTACGTCTGTATATATATATATATATAGGTATGATTGTCTGTAAACGTATGCGTATCTGTATATCTGGCGCACACATAACCATGTGCATGATCTGTATGTTAACATGTGCACCCATGCGCATCTACTCACCCAGCAATGCTTGCACTTAGGGGTTCTCACATCTCTTCCTAAGGAACTGATTGGGTCCAGCGAGGTTTCGCCATGTTGTCGTTCGTTGCTGGCGCGTTGCTGCTTCGTGCGCTTGGTAGGTCTGGCGAGTTTCGCCGTGTTGCCCCCTCGTTACCGCCTCGTGCGCTGGGTGGGTCCCGCGAAGTTTTGCCACGTCGTCGCCACGTTGCCGCCTGGTGTGATGGGTGGGTCCGGCGAGGTTTTGCCATGTTAATACCCAGTGTCTCGTTGTTGTCGCCTCTTGCGTTGGCTGGGTCCAGCGAGGTTTCGTTGCCGCCCGTTGCCGCCTTGTTGTCGCCTCTTGCGTTGGGTGGTCTGGCGAGGTTTCGACACAGTGCCGTCTTACTGCCGCCTCGTTGTCGCCTCGTGCGTTTGGTGGATCCCGTGAGGTTTTGCCACGTTGCCGCCTATTACCCAATCAGAGCTTGCCTCTGTAGGCTCTTAGCGGATTCATATGGTTAGGTGACGTTTGCCAGCGATTTCCGCGGCCCGCCTGGGTGCCCAAGTGCCCGGGTGCCTTATTGCCCTATAGCCTTATAGCCCTATAGCCCTATAGCCTTATAGCCCTATAGCCCCATAAATAAGCCCTACAGCCCAATAGGCCTATAGCCCTATAGTCCTGTAGTCTTATAGCCTGATCGCCCTATAGCCCTAGAGCCCTAGAGCCCTATAGCTCTACAGCGCTATAGCCCAATAGCCCTATAGCCCAATAGCCAAATAGCCAAATAGCCCTATGGTCCTATAGCCCTATAGCCCACTAGCCCAATAGCCCTAAAGTCCTATAGCCCTATACCCCTATATCCTTACAGCCTTATAGCCCTATAGCCCTTCAGCTCCATATGCCTGTAGCCCTATAGCCCCATAGTCCTATATCCCTATAGCCCTATGGTCCTATAGCCCTGTAGCCCCATAGCCCTATATATTCATGACCCTATGGCCCTATAGCTCTATATGCCCATGGCCCCATTGCCCTACAGCCCTATAGCCCTATGGCCCTATAGCCCTGTAGCGCTGTAGCCCTATAGACCCATAGCCCTCTGGCCCTATAGCCCCATAGGCCTATAGCCCCATCGCCCTATAGCCCCATAGCCCTATAGCCCTAACATGACTTTGACTGGGGCTTTTCTCCGTTATCATTTGCCGCCTCGTTGCCGCCTCGTGCTCTGGGTAGGTCTGGCGAGATTTCGGACGTTGCCACCCACTTGACGCCTCGTTACCGCCTCGT